TGACGTGGCAGGCGGGCTCCGGGTGGGATTTCAGCCTGTGGCGACCGTGTCCCCCGTTGGCGGCTCACCCACCCACCGTCGGGTCACGGCGCCACGTCAGTTCGCTTCCTCCCCCATCGTAGGCCCCTCGTGGATGTGAAGGACCCCTCTGAAGTCAGTGGCGAGCAGGTGGAAGCGGGGATGTAAAACCCGGTTTCAAATGTTCACTGGATAAACTATCCGGCTTAGGTCTGCACTGGCAAGACCGTGTCCCCCGTTGGCGGCTCACCCACCCACCGTCGGGTCACGGCGCCACGTCAGTTCGCTTCCTCCCCCATCGTAGGCCCCTCGTGGATGTGAAGGACCCCTCTGAAGTCAGTGGCGAGCAGGTGGAAGCGGGGATGTAAAACCCGGTTTCAAATGTTCACTGGATAAACTATCCGGCTTAGGTCTGCACTGGCAAGATTTTGCGCCAATACTCTTTAGCGCAAGGGTTTTTGCGTTAGAGTATTGGCGCAAGAGAGCGTCTACGCGGGCATGTGCTTTTGCACAAAAGCATCCGTGGCAGTGTAGACGCTCTCTTGCGCCAATACTCTAACGCAAAAACCCTTGCGCTAAAGAGTATTGGCGCAAGAGAGCGTCTACGCGGGCATGTGCTTTTGCACAAAAGCATCCGTGGCAGTGTAGACGCTCTCTTGCGCAAGAAAGCTCCAATGGCCATTTTAACCATAGGGCTTTCTTGCGCAAGAACTCACGGCCGGTGTAGACAGACAGCAAAATCTTGCCAATGTAGACACAGCCTATTATTAACTCGGCCACCTCAGGCTGAGCTGGGATAGGTCAAGGTGGGGCTGCCCTGGCTTGGCCAGGGCCAGTTAACCAACTATCCCAGTAAGCATACTGGTAAAGCAGTGCTTACCAGTTAATTCTTTACATCCCTAGTGAGAACATGGATCCATCCATGCAGATCCTACTGCAGGACTGGGGCATGAATGAAAGACGAGTGACACTGTTGTTTTTTCCACCGCAATGTTTCTCGAGTTGTTGTGGCAATTACCTGTAAGGATAAGAAAGCGTTTCATGGTCAACCAGGCCACCTGTCGAAACCAAATGGTAGAAGGAGAGTGTCAATTGAGACAGAATTTTTTATAACAGATGTTTCTCTATCAAGACTAAATTAAGACTGCTTCTTGTTGCAGACTGTCCTGCAGATAGTAGACTTTGCATCACTTGCACTTGATTTAAGGCAGTAATTTAGGCCCTGATGCTGCAAACACTTATGCACATGCTTAGCTTTAAGCTCATAAGCAGACCATTGAAGAGCTTGCTGGTCACAAGGCACTTGGTCTCCAGAGTGTTTTCTGCCACTTCTGCAGGTGTCAAACCCTTTCGCTGTAAAAGGATCTGGAAATGAGAAGGGACTGCTAACTGGTTTCTATTTCGGGCTATTGCATGATTAGAGGATGAAAGGAGCTGCTCTCTGAAACCTCCAATGTGACTGAAACTGACAGTTGCTAGCAGGAGAAAAGCATCCAGCAATGAAGGGATCAGATAAAGTGCTCAAAAAGAGGACCAGGTAGCTAGGTAGCCTGTTTAAGATACCAGGAGATGAGCCCTGGGAATCTTGTGGAGTGGTCGAAGTATTGACTATCAGATGACGGAAAATCATGAAGGGAGCTTGAGAAGATAGAGCAGATGGGAATGTGGGATGAAATGAGTATGAGTAGACAATGATTTGTTTTTACACTATTAGCTACCTCTTGGCATGCAGCAGGGTCTGCAGGATAAGCTTTATACCGCAGCGTGTGTAACTGCTAGGATTTTTAATGGTTACACGGTTACTTTTAACAGTTTTTTTTTTAAACATCCCTCCCAGGGAATTTCTCATTATTAGTAGTAAGACGAGAGATGAGGAGCTTAATGTTGTTTAGCTTGAAACTACTAAGAGGAAATTCTTCAAACATTTTCACAAAACCTCGATTTGTTCTAAGAAAAAGGAGTTGCTAACTGCATTGAGTCACCTCAAGTTTCAGTAGCTGAGCTTTTAGACTGTTGTCAGAGAGGCATGCATATGTGATGCTTTTAACTGCTCCTCTATAGAGTAACAACACAATAAGGTCTGTTTTGTTTACTGTATGCCATATCAGTATCATTTTGAGATGTGGTGAACACACAACAAAATACAGGAAAAAATATTTAAAAAAAAAATCTCATAAGGGCCTTACCTCCAGAGTCCAGGACGTTTGGAGACAAGGCTTCCTCTCTGTTCTTATCTCACCCTTCTGCGTTTAGTACTCATGCACAGAGCCTTTATGTTCTGCATTGTCTAGACACAGTGAGGCTAGTTAAGGACAGAGCTACACTTTGCAGATGTGGGCATCATTCCAGTTAAAGTCAGAGGGACTCTTGCATGCACAAACTGCTGCAGGAGCAGGCCCTGTTCATTTTGATTGGGGAGGGGGGATGGTCTGGCATTTTGGGACTTAAGACAAAAAATCTGTAATTCTTGTACTTAACACAAACTCTAGTTAAGGAAATCGTATTAATATGCATATTAGGTTGCTAATGTATTAACCATTGGACAGTAGTATTACTTGTGTGCAAAAGGTGCTGACTTAGATCTGTCTGCTATTTCTGATTTGACATCCTTGTCTGTCTTTAAGATAATATTTCTTGTTACCAAAGGCTTTGATTTAAGAGGCAACAAAACCATATGAAATGTGACAGCAACAGCTGAGTTCTCTATTAAAATATGGTACATTATTTATCTGAAACTATTTAAATTAGTAACAATATAAAAGAATATTTATATACAGGTTGAACTTCTGTGGTATGGTACCCTTTGATCCAGCAACATCCGTGGTCCAGACTAGAGAGCCCCAGGGCAGGGCCTATGAGCCCATAGGGCACCAGAGGCTGCAGCCAGTGGGGCTGGAAAGCTGGCAATGGTTCTGTGGGAGGGGAGATGCCAAGCCTGCAGCCGGTGGGGCTGGCCAGGGAGTAAGGGAGGTGAGCCTGCAGCCAGCGAGGCCGGGAAAGGGGGAGCTGCAGAGCCCACAGCTGGCAGAGCTGCGAGCCACCACTGGAGCTCGCACCTAGCCACGGAGCTGAGGGCAGTGGTGCCAAGTAGCTGGGGAGAGGAGCCCAGCAGAGAGGCTGGTGCTCCCTCCCCCAAGACCACCTCTGGTCTGGAAAAAACCCTTGTCTCTGACTGGTCAGGTCCAAAGGGAGCTGGACCAGGGAGATGCAACATGTACTTTTTATTGCAGGCATTTTCAGATTTTTATTAGTTTTATCTGTGTTCTTGTTTGTGTGTCAGAAACTTGAGAATAAGGGAGTTGTGGCTCTAGTGGAAAAAATGTTGCCAGAGCCTGCTAGGGCTGTATCTAAATAAGAGAGGGAGAATGATTTAGTGATTAGGATGCTAGTCTAGGACTGTGGAGACCTTGTGTCAGATCTCAGCCCTGCCACACTTCTTATATTACCTTGGGCAAATCACTTAGTCACTCTGTGCCTTAGTTCTCCACATGTAAAATTGCTGTTGTGAGAATAAATGTATTAAAAAAAAATGTATCAGGCACTGCAGGAACAGGGCCCATATTACTCAAAGTAGAAATAGAGCAGCTAGTTTCCAGAGGCTAGTGTCTCAGGAGCGATCAGTCTCGTGAAAGTGCTGCAGTATTTGAAGAAAGCTCTTCTGATAGCTGTGGAAATGATGACGTAGTCAGAAAAAATTCAAGAACATGATTAAATCCCACGTTTGTACTGAAAATAGATTTTTTTGCTGGGTCTGGGTCAGTATGAGTGAAATTCTCTTTGGGTGCATCTACACTGCAAGGCTTCACTCGAAATAAGCTACGCAAATTGAGCCTCGTCAATTACGTACCTTCTTTTGAAATAGGGAGCATCTACACAGCACTTACTTTGAAATAGTGCACTGTTCCTCAACTGCCCTTACTCCTTGTGCAAATGAGGGTTACGGGAGTCAGAATAAGAAGTCCTCCAGCTTGGCAGAATTTTCACACTATTTCAAAATAACTGTCTTCTGTGTAGACATGGGCTAAGTTATTTTGGAATAGCACTAGTTATTTCAAAATAGTGTTGGAGTGTAGACATACCATTTGTGATCTAAAGGGGAGCACCATGTCACCTACTGATCACTCCCTGGCATTCAGGGTTTAGGATCCTTACCAATTGGTGTTTGTAGCTGCTGCTTCTCCTCATAATCCCAATACTCCCTAATTTGCAGCCCTCGCTGACCTGAATTCAGGCTCATCCCACTAGTCAGTACACATTAGTGAGGCTTTTTGTTCAGCTTCCCCTTCCCCTGCAGGACAAACCAGAAATTGCTTGTATTGAAAAGTGATCATAGGGAAATATTTAATGGATTCTGACAGTCTTTTAATGCAATTTACCAGCTTGAAACAAGGAGGGCCCACACCTGTTGACCAGTCAAGCCTTCATGGACAACAGTATAGGAACCTGTGACTTGAAATAATATTTTGGAGTGTGTGTCTTTCTGCTAGCTCTGTAGCAGAAGCTTTCTTAGCCTTCGGTTGTAGGGGCAAGAGGGCTGAATCTGTCACAGATGCTTTTCTCTCAGTTATTTGTCAGAAATTGGAATTAAACATTCTAACTAAAAATCCTTCCATTCTCCACTGCTCCGGTTTCAATCCCACTAGTCCTCCAATACTTCATGGAGACATAAAGAAAAATGTAAGAAGCAAAGACCTGATATTTTTACTGTGTAAAAAAAAATCAAGCAGTGCCCTCTTCTTCCTGGCCCCCAACCCCAACTTAATATATCAGAAAACCAAAAAGGGCAAAACCACATTTTTTTTCTTTTGCAGATAGAATTTTAGTATGGTTCCTATATCAATGCTGGCTGGCATCGGTAGTGGTGATGCTGTTGCACCAGCAGAGGAAGAAACAATAAGTGCCAAATTTAAAGTAGGGAGAAACTATTGTCTGGTTTGAAGAGGCTCTTAGAAAATAATTATTAAAATATTAGGAAAAGTACATAACTTTTTCTCAGCATTGTTGGCTGTTTTGTGTGCACTTAGGGTATTGAGCTAAAGAGTAGCCAGGTTGAGGTGTTTTACTTTGATGGTAGATCATATTTCATTTACAATTATCCATTTAAAAAAAGGTACCCTGAATCTCAGAGTGCAAGAGAAAATGTTTAAAATACAATCTACATCATAGTCTGCATAAGGCAGGGCTGACAACAGTTAAATGAAATTATATCCAGTTTCCTATCCGGCTGAAACCTGTTTCAACAAAGTATCTTGCTCTGAAGGTCAGCTAAGACACCCTGTGATTCAAACAGGAAACATTTGTGATAAAACAGTAAACCAAATATTTTAGAAAACTTACATTTTTTAAACCCCCCATTCCCTTTCTGTAAAAATCTAAAAAAATTACTACAACTTCGACATCTACACTTTTTTAAAAAAGAGGTATGATTTATGATTGCAGATGCAGCATAAAACATTGTCTTAAGGTGAGGGATCATTAGCTGATCAAGCAGTTTAATTGGCTGAGCAGCAAGAGTCTTTTATAATAGTTTGATGGATGCAGCTTGATGTGGCTTGACTAGCAATTTCTGACTAACAGGTTTTCATGATCTCTGAAAACATAGTGCCCATGTTTATTCCATCAAGTTCATTTAAACATCCCAATCCTTCCCATATTTCATTTATGCTGGATTTTGCTCTGCCTCAGGGAGTGTAACAATTGCTTTCAAGGGGATTATTCCTCTTTTCATCAGCACAGTTACTCTGACTTGGCCTCTGGTGTAGAAGTATGCATTAGCTGTAAACATGAGTTTGTGATGTAGTCATTTGAGTCATTAAAGAGTGGCTTTTTAACTAATTGGGAATTCTGAAATGTTTGGTTACCAATGCAGGGACATTTATTGGCTTTCTTTTTTATTTTTAAGTCCAGATTTCATTTTATGTAAATCTATTGTTTATCAAAATTGTATTTAATCAATGTGAAAATTCCTGGTTTGTATGGAGATACCAGTAAAAGAGGTAGGAGTCAACATTCTCCAGATCTTTGGTGTCTTTATCTTTTAATGATAGGATCTGTAAATCCAAATGTAAAGTTAATGGGTACATTTAAATTAATTACAGAGGCATTAATTACCAGCATGTCTTTTATTTACTATGTGCTATTCCTTACTTTCTGTTCCCTGGTTCTTCTCAGGAAAAATCTGCTTTTAATTCCTCTTGAGCTAGTGTTCAGAGAATTTGTTCCTGTCAGTCACTCTTCCTCACCTACCTGAACTGTGATCTTGTAGGTGCACTGTGCATGGATCTCCTGTTACCTGCAGTGTGAGCTCTAGATCTGGACAGCCAGTGCTCAGGCTGGAATAAGCTTTGGGAAATGCACAGTCTTCCCTTTGTAAGTGACACTGTTACAGAAAGGCAACTGTTAGTCTTCAATCAAATAAAGGAAAGAAGTTACAAGTCTTCCTCAGCCGTTCTTACAAATATACCTTCATGTGGAAAAATATCCTGAGTCCCCTTCTCCCTAAGACCTCTTTGCACCTCTTCGGTATTGTGAAAGGGACATTAAATGTAATTGATGGTCACTACAAAGCCCCCTTTATGCCACCAGATTAGTTTAAAAAGGGGTCTTTATGTAAATGACACACAGGCTTTTTGTGTCTATATGTGACGTTCACTATACTTGTCTACAATATGTCATCATCACTATCTCAGCTCTTTCAGGATTGCTTATTCACTTACCACCCTCCCTCCCCCCACTCATAATACTTCCATGAACTGTCATCCATTAACACTTCATACTTACCCCTCTCTGTTCTCTAGCCTCCTTTTTTTCCTCTTGCCTCACTCTCCTGTAGTGAATCCTTTGTTTCTACCTACAACTCCAGCCTCGACTCCACAATTTTCCTCTTTCCTTCTTTCTGACCAACTGGATCATCCCAACAGCCTCCAGCCTTGAGTCACTTGCCCTTTTTGGGGTATCTGCTCTGGCTACCTGCTCCTAGATGCCTCTGGAGGAGATCCAGAGACTACTTCTTCTCAACTCTGTCCTCTTTGTTTTCAGAATGGTCACTGAAGATAATTAAACATAGCCCACTTATTTAATCTTTGTGCATAAGGAGTTGAATTTTCTCCTTAATGAATAATCATAAATAGGGCCGGCCCACAACATTTTGGCACCTGAGGCAGGGAGCTCAAATGATGCCCCCATGCCACCTTGCTTGGGCCAAAACTTTGAAAGGTTTCAATTCTCTGGGTCCTAGTGCCCCTCCCCTCCCCAGTCTGGCACCTGAGGCGGCTGCCTCAGTTTACCTCATGGTAAGGCCAGCCCTTCATCATAAATATGTGATTTATCTGCGTGGTATTTTTCTTTGGTCTTGTTGAAGGTGAGCGGTACAGATGGGTAATATATGTAATATTGAGTGAAAATAACTGTGCAGCATCACCTGCTGGGTAATACATTCAAAAGAAGTGATTTGCATATCAGAATTCCATCTCTGTATCCTGTACAGAAAATAACAGCAAGCTGAGACACCAAAAGCTGATAGAGACTGTTAAAATAAAAAATTGGGAGTTGAGAGGGTTGCCCTGGAGAGATGAGGCTAATAACTGTTAATCAGACAGGAGTATAAACTTGCTTTGAAATCAAGAAGTGTAATAAATCTGGGTATTTGCTGCTATGAAATGACTAACAAGCAATAATGATGAACTAAACTTTATCTCTCTTTGTAATAATGGACATTTTTCTTCTGTAGGTCAAATTTGGAAACTGTAACACTCCCAAGCCCAGTTTCTTTGATTTTGAAGGAAAGCAGAAATGGTAAGAGGAAATCCTTGCAGTCCCTAACAATTTTATTTTATTTTGCCACATCTTTTAGAGTGCTTGAAATATGCACATATCTCTGTTGTGCTCTCTATTAATGATTAAAATAATCCTTGGGGGAATTCTTAAATTGGTGTTGCTGTTCTGCTGATTTACTGCTGTATTGTGTTATAAATCAGCAACACATAAATATGAGTGAGTGAAGTAGCTTTTCCTTTTTAAGCCTGGCTAGAGGATTACTGGCTTCAAAACTGGATAAAAGATGTCTTTCCTTTTCCTAGAAATATGTAGCTAGGCTTGTGTTAGCCCTGATCACTGTGTTTCATTGGTGACAACGAGTAAAAGCTGGATGTATAAGTTCCTATGTTTTGCTCTGTACCTAGGGAAGCATGGAAAGCACTGGGAGATTCAAGTCCACACCAGGCTATGCAAGAGTACATAGCCACAGTGAAAAAACTGGATCCCAGCTGGAATCCTCAGGTAAACAAATAACATCCAGAAATCCATTCAATATATTTTTATTGCATATGTGAGCATTTGCATCAGGTCTTCACTGAAGAGGGTCCAGGAAGATCCAATTCACTGCACAGGAAACTTAAATTCTTAGAGACATTTTAAATAGTATTTCAGCCCCCAGGTTTATTACTTTATCAGACATTTAAAGGTTTCATAGTCTCTCTGATATATAGGCATTGTCCTGTTTTAAGAGAATCATTCTTTTAACAGGTATCTCCTTTGACTGGGCACCATTACAACATCACAGTCCCATCGATATATTTTATTAGTCTTAAAAGTGCCACCAGACTATTTGTTGTTGTTTAAGTTTATCCTGTACAGACTAACTTGGCTACCCCCTGAAGCTTCTGAACATCAAAATTAGTCTTTGCAAAGTGTTAACTTAGAATTACAGAGGTGCTGTGGAACATCTGCATCCTTTTTATAACATTTTCAAAAATACCTACTTCAGGTGTATTCATTTTACAACCATAGAAAATTTGTGGCTTTGTTATTCCTCCACCTTAACAAAAAAAAAAAAAGTGGTTGTCTGAGCATAAGACTTGGATCCAAACACTTGAGTTCTAATTCTGGGTTTGATGTCTCCTTTGGCATTAGGGTAGTTGCAGAACTTCTATGCCTCAATTTCCCTGTCTGTAAAATGGGGATCCTAATGCTCCTCTGTCTCAGAACCATGCTGTGAGAATTAGTTAATATTTGCAAAGTGTCTGGAGGAAGAAAAGCATTATAGAGCATCTCTAGAAAAATAACTATGGACTGCACAATCTCATTAACATACAAAAGTCAAAGTGATTTGCCATGCTCTAACTTACATAAAATCTTGTCTAATCTAAAACATCCATGCAAAATAAGGGGAAAATCCAATAAATATTGATCACTTAAAAGCCTGAATGAACAAAAACACCTTGCAGCTCAAGTATTATTCATAAAGTATGGGGGGGGGTGCAGCCACTGCTGGTTGTCCCACCCTGTAATGCAGCTTCTCTTGATAACTAGAAATCTTCCCACTGAAATGTCATAGAGTGTGGCATGCTCATCCTCTGTTGGTGGCCAGTTCTGAATTGCATGGCTGTTCTCTGCAGCAAGAATCCAGGGCATGAATTCAAGAATCGACTTCGTTTTTCAAAATGTCTAAAAATTGAACCACTCAGCAAATGAAGGAGCTGGAATTCTGGCTCTGTTTGTGTGAGTGTGATTGCTGCCTCCTGTGCTCTGCACTTCCCTTGGCTCCTCAGTGGAAGGTGAATAAGCCGTAAACCAGCATATATTTTGGTTTTACTAATACAGCTGTTGAAGGTGCTTTCATTGATTGCAATGTCTGCGAGGTAAAGAACTGAAAAGGCACTGTCATCGCTGGAATTAAAATCTGACCTGTCTTGATTGTGCCAGTTCAGAGTTCTTTCCTTAAGGAGCTAATCGTGACATTTTCTTTTGTTTTCTTTCAAGAACTTAGCACTGTGAAAGGGTGTTGAATGGCTATCCCTAGAGACTGAATGCCTCAATTCAAATCGAGAATAAGCATTGTTCCCTATTCTGCCCATTGACCTGGAAAGGGAGTTCAGTCACCAACCTCTTTTAATCCTTGGTCCCGCTGGGGCTACTAATAGTGGTAGTCGTTTTTACATTGTGCACCCTTGTCCGCTTGGAGCTGAACTGAGATCAAAGCCTGATACTATACTGGTATGACATTTTTTTAAAATTGTATTTGTAAATGCTGTGTGACTTTGAGGGTCCTGTTAGGCGGGAAACCAGTTCAATCTGTATCACACAGGTTGAACCTCTCTAGTCCGGCATCCTTGGGTCTTGACAGGTGCCAAACCAGAGAATTGGCCAGACGATGGGAGGTCAATATAGTCTAGCAGCATTGCCAGCACTTCTACGGTTTACTGACATTTAGGGGTAAATTAGAGCTAAAGAACACTGAGAGCCAGGGCTGTAAACAAACTTTATGGCACCACTGGAAACTTGGCCATACCCGTGATAAGTGGACATCTGGCTAACTAAAATCATGCCGGACCACAGATTTTTCCAGATAGGAGAAAATCTGGATTAAGAGGTTTAACCCATACTTCAAAACATTAGTGCACAAACTTATTTATTGATAGTGTCACACTTTATTCATGCTTTCTTTTTCCGTTTTATAATTTCAGTCATGGAAATGTTTGTTTGAAGGGATTGGGAAGCAATGATAGACTGAAAAGGGGCCACTCGTAAGGCAGGTAGGGCCCAAATTGTCCTATATCGCTAGTTTCATCTAGGAGTGAATGCCTGTCTTTAGCAGTCTTACGGGTTTGAAACCACAAAAGGGGATGATTTGAGGCTATCTGGATTTCCTTTTTAGTAGGAGTTTTGCTCTAACATTTCAGCAGTTCTTAAGTGTTTAGACCATCACACATGCAGCTTTGATGTCTAAAACTTCAAAGGTAATAAGCATTTTCTGTTTGCTATCAGAATGCCATATATAGTGATCATGAAAAAGATATAGGGATAATTATGTAATTCTTCTGGCTTGATGTGCATTCCCCATAGCTTAGACCCTAAATTTGTATCCTGATTGTACCCATTGCTTTGCACATCCTCTGTGAGCGAGCCAGAAGTCAGTTGAGCAAGGTGGGAAGGCTCTACATTGGAGGAAGGTGCCCGAAAATAGAATGAGGAAGAGAAAGTTGCTACATCCTGCAGCACTTGTGCAGGGAGAGGGTGATTTTTAAAACAGCATTAAGAAGGAGAGAATGATTAATTAGTGTGTCAAACAGCAACTTTTGTGACCATGATATTTTCCATTTGTCTGTTTAACCACGTTAGTAATGACACACAGGAGAACCAGCCCTCCCCTTCTCTCATCTCTCTTGGGCTGATCTCATGCTATCTGTACTCTGTGATTTTTTTTTTTTGTTGCACCAAGTCTACCTTCCTGCAGCCACAAGAGGGAGCTCTATCATAATAACTAAGGTGTATTTGTCTTGAAAAGGTGGTAAAATAATAGCCATTGTAGTCTTCCCATTCTAAATTGAATTTTAAAAAAAAGATTTGTGTGTACAGTACTAGGTATTTAGTCACTGCCACTGTCTTTTTCCTCTTTACGTCATCTGTTTCTAGGCATGAACTGGTAAGTTTATTTCAATTATAAGCAGATTTTAAATAAGAAATAATAGCTGTGTGCATCTAATGAGCTTTATTGAGAGAAAATATAAGGTCTCTTAGGAATATGAGAAGTTCATCTGTTCAAGCTGGATTCAAGTTGCCAGCATTTTTAAAAGCAAGAGCTATCCGGTTTTAAACTTTCCTTGAGAGTCTATTTCATAGTGTAGTATGTTTCATTATCAGAAAACTTAATTGCTAACCTTTCTTCTCAGGGGTTTTCTGATGCCATCACAAAAGTTTGTCTCAGATTTAAAACTAAAAGCTTGTTTTACAGTTAAAAAAATACACTGCAGATACTCAGAGATTCCCCAGTCCCTAGTTACAAAAGGCTGGAACATGGCAGAGGAGTCCTTTTTGCACCAGTATAGTCAATTATTTTGTGTACACCTCTTTAATTGACTAGGCTTTATATGTGATTATTTATTCCCTACAAATCTGCAATTTGGAGAGATACAGACCACGGTCTGCGTGCCACTGCACAAGCAAAGTTAGGGTACATTCTGGGCTATTGCTTCTCATACCAAGATGAATATCAGCACACTAAGTGCTTGGCACACAGTTCATGCCATAAAAATAATGTAAATAACTCAATTTCTTTTAGCTCTTTCTTCAGTTCAGACCTTCCATTTGCCTCCATTGGCTGAAACTTTGGCACTTTGTGACTCTAAATTCTCCTTCTTCCCGTTCTTATGTTGCAAATCTGCCTGTTGTCATCACTGCAGTTTTTCTCACATCCATCATAGCTGCAGTTCCATCATTGCTAAATCCTCCTGCAAGCCTTTCTTTCTTCTGGTCTAACTCAGGTTTCTTTCTCTGTGGCCTCAAGTCTCCAGCAGGTCCAGAATTCTGCTGCATGCCTCTTCCCAGGAACAGGAAGCATCACATCTCCCTGTTGGCAGAGTCTGTTCCTGAACTGACAGTAACACTTACCTGCCTTGGTTTTTACAAGGGTGCGTCTACACAGCACCCTTACCTCGAAATAAGCTACACAATTTGCGCTATGCAAGTTGCATTGCTTATTTCAATGTTATTTCAAAATAGCTTATTTTGAAATTTGGCGCTAAATTTTGAAATGAGGCGCTATTGCGAGATATCCCTTACCCTCATGCAGTGAGATTTACAGGAACATCAGAGTAGTGAGCCTGTTATGTTTCGATATGACTGGCTTGCTCTTAAGACATGGAATAGTTATTTCAGGATACCGGAGCTATCCCAAAATAGCTCCACTGTGTAGACAGAGTCCAACACGGAACAATGGAGCATTTGAAGGGGAAATCACTCACTTTGAGGGAGTTTGGGGGCTAAGGGCTGGGGTGGGGGGTGCAGCTGCAGGAGGAGCTGTGAGGTATGAAAGGGGGTGCAGGATACTGGCTCTGGGAGGGGGCTCAGGATTGGGGCAGAGTGTTGGTTATGGGAAGGGGGCAATAGTTACCTCATTGGGCAGCTCCTGGTTGGTGTGGGACCAACGCAGACTATTTGCCTGTCTTGGCCCTGCACTGTTTCTGAAAGCAGTTGGCGTGTCCCAGCAGCCCCAGGGAAAGGGGGGCGGGGCAGAGGGCTCTGCCTGTGCCTGCAGGCATCACCCCCGCAGTTTTCATTGACTTCATTTTCTGTCCAATGGGAGCTGTGGAGTCAGTGCACAGACACCACCTAGTCTGTTCGTCAGAGGCCGCAGGGACTTGCTGGTTGTGTCTGGTAGTGGCAGGGAGCCTGCCTAAGCCCTGCTGCACCACCGGACTTCTAGTGGCTTAAAATCTCTTAACTTGGCTTTAGTAGCCTCTGGGAGATAAAGCCCGATTCTAGGAGACTGCCAGTGAAAC